GACTTTTTATCCCTGGGTGGTGTCAATAATTAATGCACTCAGCTACTAACCCAAAGACTGGACTTCAAGTCCACTCACAGGATCCTCAGAAGAAAGATCTGGCTATTGACCTTCAAAAAACTCCTGAAATCCCCATGGAGATTACTCTGACACACACGGGGTCAGGTCATTGTGAATCAGAATCGACCTGACATCAAGCTGTTAGAGTTGTTTCCACTGTAGTCATGGCTCAGATTCAAGACAGGGAACTTCTGTGGTTGGGAGGAGGGCCAAAGTCCCAACGCACACATCTGCCACACACATGACCCCTCCTCTTTCTCTGCTCAGATGTGGATGAATGTTCCGAGACACCTACACCGTGTGGTCCTCACTCAAACTGCATAAACCTGCATGGGGGATACAATTGCAGCTGCTTGCCTGGGTTCTCTTCCCCCATTGGAAATGCCTGGACCTCAAAACAGGCAGGAAGTTCCATCTGTTCAGGTAATGCTCTCCAGCATGGGGTCTTTGGTGGACAGATTCCACCCGTTGGATATATGTGTTTCTGAACCTGGGCACATGCTCACCTGTCAGTTCCCTTTCCACTGCTCCTCAGACGTGGATGAGTGCCTCGACAGCGACACCTGCCCCGACAATTCTGACTGCATCAACTTCGTGGGAAGCTACAAATGCATCTGCCAGGCTGGCTTCATTTCCAGGAACTCCACTTGTGAAGGTAGAGAGCACCTGCTCTATGTGGTTATCCTCTCTAATTAATTATTCATCACCTCACTAACAACCATGCAGAGAAGGATTGGGATTCCATTTCAGGGATGAGAATATTGGCACTCAGAGAGGTGAAGTGACTTGTCTGAGGACACACAGCAATTCAGAGGAAAGCCAGAATTTGTACTTCCATTGAGGACCCACTGTGAGTCATTTTTCACGGATCCACCACCAACACTTATGGAAGCAATAGTCAAGAAATCAAACGATGTATAACATTAGGAAAATTTGCTGCACAAGACCTCTTTAAGTGTTGAAGAGCAAAGATGTCAGA